CAAAAGCAGGAACTGGAATATACTCCACATGGAAATACTATCAATCTATACCAGTGGGAAAAAAATCTTTTCTATGGAAAGTTAAGGATAAAAAAGTAGTAATGAAACCTATCACATATAAGGGCAAAAAAAAAAAATCACTCAAGAGCAGTTTGTATAAAATAGGCCTTTTCACTATTTTTTCCTTACATGATTTGTCTAACTAATCCAAATAAATACATGTGGTTAGTGTTATTTAGACGTATTATCTATTACCTTTCAAAGATGTCAAGTATGAGACACCTTCCCCTTTGCTCTCCATTCCAACAGGAGAGGGACACCAAAGAGAAACACGACCGGCACAGGATATTTCAACCAATCCACCCCACATTTTTATGCAGAAGTCCAGACTCTAGGGGACTCATCTTCATTTTTCCTGTACCCCTTAAATGTGAAGTTATGAAAAACGAGGAACTTTCCTCTGATTTCATCTGCAAACAGGCCCCATCTTAGGGTGAGCTGTCTGGATACACATTCTCTACTCATCGAATTAATTTTTTAAAAAAAAACCACAAAAAAAAAAACTGGGAAAGGAATAATCAGGCAGGTAAGGGAGAAATATTGCCCGGAAAGGGTCAACAGGCATTCGGGTGCCAGACCGGTCTCTGAGGACACACACCAAGGGAGAGAGGAAAGGGGAGAGCTCGGAGAAGTGGGTGCAGAGAAGCACCGGGGCCACGGGGCAGGAAGAAGCCGGCCCGGGTCAGAACTGGGCGGGCAGCTGGGCCCGGAGCCTCCACATGGCCCCTAGGCCCGGCTCCCCCACCCCCACCCTTGCTGAACACGCAGCGCGGCGCAACCGAACTTCGCTTCCCTCCCTCTTTCTCCCTCCCGCTGCACCGCCGCCCTCAGGCCGCGCGGCGATTGGCCAGCAGTCACCCCGGCGCGCCGCGCCATTGGCCAGGCGCCGGGGTCCGGGGCGGGACACACCCACCGGCTTCCCGATGGCGGGGTTAGGTTGGACCGGGTGGGGGAGGGAGGGGGACGGGATGGGGCGGGGTGGGTTCCCGAGGCCTGGGCCTCCGGGAGGGCGGGAAGGCCCGCACGCAGGGGATGAGGAGACAGAGGGATGGGGGCCGGCGGGATGGCACGCACCAGGTTTTCCACGGCCGCACGCTCCAGGAACTTCTGCGCCGCTTCTAGTTCCAGCCGATCTGGGGGGGAAGGAAAGTGGGAAAGGGGACAGGGTCAGAGGGGCTAGGGCTCCCCTTCCCCCCACCCAATCACCTCAGCCCGACCCCCGGCCCCCGCGTCCTACCCGGAGACACGGTCTTCTCGAGGATGGTGATCAGCTCCATGGCGGAGGTGGCAGCGGCTACTCCTCCTAAGACGACGGTCCGGCCTCTGGGGCGGCGGCTCTAACTGGGGATGGGGGTTGGGGGTCGGGTGGGAAGGGAGGGTGGGGTGGGGAGCGGGGGTCACCACCAGCCCATTCACCGGCTCCCTCTGGTTAGTCGCCCTGGCTCCCTTCCTTCCTCCTTTCGCCCTTTCCTCCCTCCCAATTTGCTGCTGGCGGCGGCGGCGGCGGCAGCTGCTCCTCTGGCGGCGGGGGAGGGACCCCGGGGGCAGCTCAGAGCGCGGCTGGTGCTCGGGTGGCGGAGGGAGAAAGAAGGAAGGGAGGCAGTCAGTGAACGGCGGCTCGCAGGGAGCGAGATGGAGGGAGGGAGGGAGGAAGGCGGAGGGATATTCGGGCCGGACCTCTCCGCGGCGGCACCGCGCTCCGCGTCGATTGGCTGCCGCCGTGGCCATGCGGAGCCCCCTATTGGCCAGGCCGTCTGCGTTGAAGGGCCGCCCGGCATCCATTCGCCCGCTGGTTTCAAGTCCCGGGTTGGTTGGGCGGGCAGCGGAATGGGGCGCGTGGATTGGCCGAGGGCAGGAGCTAGCTGGGTGCTGATTGGGCGGGCTTGGTAAAGGCCTCGGTCTCAGACCGGCTGAGCGCTGAGAGGAGAGGGGACCTCAGGCAAGACTCCGGGCCCGCATGATTGGCTGGGGTACTAGACGTTGATAGGCCAGGGCGCCCGGGAGAATTGGGGAGAAGAGTTCGGGGTCGGGGCCTCGGAAAGGCGGGAGGTGCCCCGCCGCTTCAGGAGCCCGGCGCGGGGCAGGATGGGACGCCCCCGGGAAGGGGCGGAGCCGTGTCCGGGCTGCGGTTGGGGAAGCGCCGTCCCTCGGAGGGGCGTGTTGAGGGTTTCGCGGGCTTGAGCGGGGGATTGGGGGGGTGGGGGGGCGCGTTAAAGCCTTGCACCGCGCCCACAGGAAGCTGCTTTAATGGCTGGGACTACTTGGCAGCGGGCTCGCGCGGCAGGGCAGGACCTTGGAGACCACGCGGTTCAACTTCCAGTTTGCAGATGTGGAAACGGAAGCCCAGAGAGGGTATGCAACCGGTGCAAGGTTACACAGCTGGTTAGTGGCCTGTTCGGGACTGGACTCCCGCGCTCCGGACTGCCCTTGGCCTTGCACTCCGCTTCCCCCTTCGAGGAGGTGAATACTAATCATCACTTCCCTTAGGCCTATTTATAGGATTTGAGGCCGGTGCTGTTACAAGCTCTAACTCACATGGGGTGGGTATTCGAATTCCTCTTAGATCTCCACCCACATGTACCAGGTACTTAAAGGAATAGAAATGTTTCATCCTGTGAAGGTGCAGAAAGAATCGTGTACAGGTGTAAAGCATCGTGGTTCTTAGCCTTTTTTTTTTTTTTTTTTTTTAGTTCTAAGCTCTGGAAGGAACTAATAGTGAAAGCCTTCCTTAGTAAAATGCACATAAAGGAAATGTGCAGTTTTGTGTTTTTTTTTTTTTAACTTCCCCTGATATTGTTACATGGGCTGCACGTGAAGAATTGTCTGAATTGTTACATTTTCACCATATTGCTCTAGGGTTAATTGGATGCAGGCAGTTTATAGAACTCTTGACCATGAGCTTGAACTTGTGGAGTAATTGCCCTACGCTGGCCATACTCAGTAGGGAAACTAGGAGGAACTCTGTCCTCATTGAGGTTCCATCTCATAATTAGGAAAGGTGGGCCAGCTACCTTTAATCATTAAAAGAGGAAGAAAAGTTCTTCCTCTGCTAGAGATAATCATTGCCGTTCTGAAGCAGAACTGGATCGCCTTCCTCACCCCGTGCTGTGACTAGTTGATTTCCGATGGCTTAGCCTTAGCAGTTCTAACCCCAGCCTTTTGCTTCATCTGTTAATTGAGGAAGAACTACCCTGTGTGTGTAACTTTGTTAGTAATCAGTGAAGGTTTAGGGAGGTGACGCCCATGAAAATCTTTGAATTGGCCTTATGTAGATTACCCAGACGCCAAGTGATCCACAATTTTGTCTCCAAGACAAATTTCTCCTGCACCCCTTGCCGCGGTTTGCCGAGCCACCTCCTCTGCTCAACATCAGTCGTGATAATACCAGTGAAGGCAAATGGATTTTTAAAGTAGCTGGAATAATACGCTGGGGAGATAAATGTTTTGCAGCAAAGTTCCAGTCAAACATAAGATCCGAGAGAAATAATTTTAGTTCAATTGAAGTTACTGATGCTGCTGTCCAGTCCTTGTCTAAATCACTCACTCCTGCATTCAGCAGGTGCTAGGGAGGCACCACAGTGAGTGAGTGCACACACTCTAGAAACTGACCACCTGGGTTCATCCTAGCCCATCTCTGCCACTTCCCAGCTTGTGTGACTTAGTTTGCTTATATATAAAATGATAATTTACCTACCTCAAAAGGCTTCTGGGAGTTCTTATGTGAGTTAATAGATGTTAAGTGCTAAGAACACAGCCTGGCATGCTCTATATGTTACATACACATTGGCTATTATCTATTTAGCATGTATTTTGGACTAAGCAAGTAGTTCTTGGTCCCTGGCTGATTAGAGAAGCTAATCTCACAAATAAATGTCAAAGTGACAGATACTAAGGAATGCTACAGTCAGGGGACTCAAGAAAAACTTAGCTGAGAAAGGGAAGAGAGTTATTCAGGTGGAGCAGAAAGGAACAGTATGTACAAAGGCCGAGGTAGGAGAGTGCTTGGAGATTATAAGGAACTGCAAGAAGGCGGGGCCCCTAAAACAGAGAACAAGGGGTTGAGATAAAGCTAGAGTGTTGAATAGGGAAAAGGCCACGTGAAACCTTGCATGCCACTCAAGTGATTTTGTCTATATTCTAAGAGCAAAGAGCAGCTGTTGAAAGGTTTTACCTAATGATATAGGATTGCCACCCAGTGGTCGGCAACTGCAGCTCACGAGCCACATGCGGCTCTTGCAAAACTCTCTTAGAGCTGATTTAGAGTCAGCATTCAGACTT